CTGCTTATATAAATTATTTTTTATAGTCCTTATAACCCGCTCTACAATTGCGGCCTTCATCGTGATATATGTTGAATAATGATTAATATTGTGTTCCATCATAAGAGCTCGAAAATTCTTATTATAAAATTCCTTCCCATGATCACTTTGTATATTTGCTGGTGTGTATTCTGCTTCTTCTATTATACTTTTCATTGCTCTAGTAACTTCAACACCTGTTTTGTTCTTGATAGCTCTAGCGTATACATACTTGGAGTAACAATTGATGCATACCAGAATATAGCGATTCCCAGCATTTTCATCAGCAAATTGCTGCATTTCTGCTAAATCTATCTGCCACAAGTCTTCATAACCCTTAATAATCGTTCGTCTTCTAGTAAAATTTTTCCTCACATTTTTATGAAGTTCTCCAACAATTTTAAGTTTTTCATTGCTAGGTTCCATATCTATTCAAGTGTAGCGCGTCTCGTGGTACACTGATGCGATGTATGCATTGCTCAGTAAATTATACCCTCCTCACGAAGCTCTTCTATGATTGAAATAATCTCGTTATCGTGTCCTGTGTGTCCTGCCGCCTTAGAGCTCCACAATAAACGTAATCTATTCACCAACTCCTTGGGCTTATTCCAATAAACATATTCGGGATGATGACATGATAGAAGTTTTTTTTGTGGTATGGTTAATTTATTGTTCTTTTTGCGAATGCCTTCACCCAGTTTCGTCTTTTGCATCAAAGGTTTTATGATTTTCAAATATTTTTCCCACCTAGTTTTCGTCAGTCCATGTTTTTCATCATAGCGGTTGTATGCGGCATTCGTTAATTCTAAAATGTTTGCGTAATTTTGACGTACAGATGGACGCATGTCATCCAATCTATTCAATACTGGTGGACTTTTTAAAAACAGCAAATCGTAAAGTTCGCTGCTTCCATCGAATATAGCAATGTTTCTCGATAGGTCATTATATAATGATACTTTTCCTTCGGGAAAACGTACTTCCTTATCGCCAATGTATGTCTTATTTTTGACCTTACTATTTTTATTACCGTAATGTACCCCATAAACGGTATCATACTGAGATGGTGTTTTTTTAAGGCCGCTCAAAAGTGCGTTGAGATAGCTCCTAGATTTTGTAGATGTTTTACCACTAGATACATCGGATAATGTAGGGGATGTAATTGATGATGAGGGTGTGTCGAATAGATGTTCCCTTCTCGTTGCATCTATTGGTGTAGATATTTATAGTGACTGGTGTGATGTGCTCTCCGCCATTGATGGTGATTTCTCAAATATTTCTGATGGATCAATCGACACGCTTACACTCTGCTTTCGCGGTTTTGTTTGTGCGTTTGGTTGTTTGCTCTGTTTTTGTTGTTTTACGTCATTAGAGATAGATGTTAAGGGTTTAGTGATTGGTTCATAGAATTTCTCCAATTCAAATTTATGCTTCGCCGTTTCTGTTTTAATTTGTTTAAATTTTTTTCTAACTGCATCTGTAACAGCTACCAGTTTACGTTTTAAATCAAGTTCGTTATTCATGGTGTTGTCTCAGTACTGTGCACACATGAAATGAATCGCATACGTTTTTATTATACAAATATATAGCTGTCGAATCCTTTGCGGTATCTCCCTGAATTCAAATCACAATCTTTGTCTATAACGAGAAATCCATATTTATTGTTCCAACACTTGGAACACATCTCCTGGAATTGTGTGAATGTTACATCAGGAGAAACATGATCTGAGAAGATGTGTCTTAAATTCATTTCATCTTGTTTGAACATAATAATTAAGTTGGCATTATCACGTACAAGTTGTTTTGGGACTCGGGAATAGGTTTGTGCTAAGTAAAAAGCATCCACATTTTTATGTCTGCCCATACTAAAGTATGATCTTATTATATCTTGTTTTTCACACATGACGTCATCAAAAATGAAAACAGAGTTTGGTCTGGCATCCGATGGTTCCACAATGTTGGATGCATCAGTAAATGTGTAAAAACCCATCCCCTTGATAGGTGAGAGAATTTTTCTAGATTGTAGACGTTCTCGAAACGTAATCCCGAAGGATGAATAAGCAGTGTGATCATAACATTAGTTTTCCCACAATTTGACGGTCCGATTAGCAAGCCGCGAATAGAACGCGGAAGCAAAGGGCCATGTCTTCGGTATTCCTTTTGCATATGTCCAGATCCAACTTTTTCATCAAAATTGTCGATATTAAACTTTTGTTTTAGGTTAACGAAACGCATGTTTTTTCATACACGCAGTCGCGCACAAATAAATAAATATTATAACAAACTGTTCACGGTATTTATCATTTAGATGGCAATCGTCAAGCGAAGTGGACGTTCTCGTTATTCAAATAAGACTGGATGTGGTATTGTAAACTCACTAATTAATAGTCTCCCGTTCGAGTTACATATACCAGGAGGCTATCAGTACTGCGGTCCGGGCACGAAAGTTCTGAAACGTGTGGCACGAGGTGATAGAGGTATAAATCTCCAGGATTCTGCATGCAGAAAACACGATCTATCTTATCTGCATAATAAAGATAATTTAACTGCACGACATCAGGCCGACTACGAGTTGGAACAACGAGCTTGGGAGAGAGTGAAATCTAAAGACGCTAGTGTAGGTGAAAGGGCTGCTGCTTGGTTAGTAACAAATATCATGAATGGAAAACAGCGATTTGGGATGGGTGTATCGACTGTATTGAAGAAAAAGAAAAGGCCCCGCAAAGGAAAGCATCACAATGGTGTTGTAAAGAGGGCTGGCGCAAAACGGACAAGTAGACAAAAAGTGAAAAAAGTAGCGTTTGGATCAGCTGTGAGAAGACCAATTCGTTCAGAACTGATGAAAGCTGGAGGACGAAAATTTGTTGAAAAAAATTTCCTGCAAGCTTCTAAATAGCTATAGCAGCTGCACGCAAGTCTGTGAAAGCAGCCGGTGGTAGGCGAAAGATTCGAACACCAAGAGTTCTACCCATACCCAAAGTTGGAGGAGTGTTACCGCTCATACCAATATTTGCAGGATTATCGGCGCTTGGATCTATTGCAGGAGGGGTCAGTGGGATAGTACGCGCAATAAAAACCACGAAAAATGCCAATGCAGAGAAAACAGGAACCACCTTACACCTTAATTCACGAGGAAGCGGATTGTATCTAAAGCCGTATCGAACAGGGTTAGGATTATTCATGCACAATAAATCAAAAAACTAATCGAATCCCTACCCCAAAGAGCACTATCCAATATCGATATAGAGAGCTACGCATTAAAAATGAAAATACCATATTTTAGAGGTGTATTTATGAGAGACACACTACCCACACATGGCGCACGACGCTGTGAGACAGCAATTATTAATTTGGATATTATGCGAGGTGTAGGGACACATTGGGTGGCCTATAGAAAAGATAGGGGGAAAGTAACATACTATGACAGTTTTGGTGATTTACCACCACCTGTTGAATTAGTGCACTATCTAAGAACAGGACCAGAGGCTGCAAATAATATTTATTATACATATGACCGCCAACAACAATTTGGAACAGTCTGGTGTGGACACTTGTGTTTAAAGTTTCTCTCGAAATCTTAGGCACAAAATCACCACCAACCATGTCTATAACGCCACAGATTGAGCGTGATGGTTATAAAAAGATGGCATCATCACTAAAAGCATTCTCCCGATCGGGTGGATTACTCAAAATGACATCTGAGCAATTGGGTGAGATGCCAAAGGAAGTTATGATAGCGTGTGCACCCAAAGAAATCGCGTTGATCTGGGATAAGTTACCTGAAGCTCTACAAAACGATGTGGATATATTAAAATACCAATATTGTGGCGAACATTACAATGAAGAAGTTTGGAATAACTGTGATGTAGCTGATGGACCCGCCCCGAGAAGAATATTTTGTTGTTACTGCAAGACAGGTGATGTAAAGATAACCACGAAAAATTCCACACAGTCAACTGAAAGACGTGGAAGACGACAAAGCCTTAACGATCTAGCTTGTTGTTGCAATCAGCATTAAAATAGTCGCATAATTGTTTTGATAGTCATGTCCTTCACATTCACATTAACAGGACACAGCAGTGTTTTAACCGCCGATTTTTTCCCACCCATTGAATTGGATAAAACAAGCCGATATGGATTGGCCCTTCTCGGATTCTACACATACAACTCTATTTTCAACGTTGATGAAAGCAACAATGCCTTTGAATACAGTAAAAAAGGTAGTGCCAAAATTTCGCGTGTAACTATTCCTCCTGGAGCATACGAAATCGTTGAAATCGAGCATGTTATGATTGCAGCGTTGCGAGCGTCCTCGAAAGATGATGATACTAATCTATTTTCGCTGAAAGCCAATAACAATACATTGAAATGCGAATTGAAATCCAAGCTTAATATCGATTTCGGCGTATCGAATAGTATCGGTAAGATGTTAGGATATGAGAGTGGCCAGCTGGAAAGTGGTGTGAAACATGAATCCGTATTTCCCGTAGACATTATGAAAGTGCGAATTATACGTATAGACTGTAATATCACCTCGGGAGCATACCTGAACTCTCGCGAGTGTCACACATTATTCGAATTTGACATAGAAGTTGAACCCGGTTACAAAATTACAAAAGAACCTCAAAACAATATTTATTTGCCCATTAAGCCTGAAGGACGTCAGTTCATCGACAACATCACATTACGCATCTTGGATGATAACGGTCGCCTGATAGACTTTCGAGGAGAGAAAATTATTGTGAAATTGGAATTGAAGAAAATTGTTGTATAACAATGGGATTTTGCTACAATCGTCAATTGCACAGATTTCAATCTATCCAGAAATCTGTTGAAAAACCTAATAAAAATAGGCGAGATACCACGGGGGGATTCACTCGTAGCTCGAACTCGAGATCGACAACACAGTTGCAGCAACTGTCCGCACAAGATCGAAGCTTTTTGAAATCAATCTGCGGTTTGAAATTGAAGCCTAGAAAGCAAAAATGATGACCAGCAGCGACAAAATTGACGTCTTTACCGGCCCCATTCTCGATAATTCCATCGTCAGTTTACAAGAACATACATATAAACCATATGGTTCGCCAGTTTTCCAAAACTCTGATGAAATTCGCATTCCTGTCCATTTCCAAGATATAATACTGGACATATCCGAAAGCTATATCTATATCGAGGGGAAGTTTAAGCCCAAAGATCCTGCTAAAAAGTGCTACCTATCCAATAATGCCCTAGCCTTTCTGTTCGACGAAATTCGATATGGAATGGGTGGTGAGCATGTAACAGTTGTTCGAAAACCTGGAATTACATCGGCCCTTAAAACAATGGTGTCGTTTGGTGCTTCACAGTTGAAACCCCTACTAGCTTGTGGTTGGGGGCTGGCTGAAGATAAACAGCATCTCATCGATTCCACAAGTCACGTGTTTTCTGGTAAATTGCCTCTAAAGTATTTAATGGGTTTTGCCGAGGACTATACGAAGGGAATCTTCAACGTCAAGCAGGAGCTTATATTGATAATTGCTCGTACCTTCGCCAACTGTTATATCGGTGAAGTGGAAGCAGACATCACACTCGACAAAATTGAATGGAAAATCCGTCATATCATTCCCAACGATGATCATAAGTTGAAAATAATGTCACGCATTAATAAGGGGGGCCAAAGTACCAATATTCAAATAGCTTACCGCAAATGGGACCTTTACGAACTTCCTACGTTGCGTGAGACTTCAGCCGATATTTGGACTTTAAGAACTAGCAACAGTTTGGAGCGACCCCGCTTTCTTATAATCGGTTTCCAAAAAAACGAAAATTGTGATAAGAAAGAAAAAGACGCCACAGAATTTACTACGGCTGATGTGAGCGACATTCGCTTATACCTGAATTCCTCGGTATATCCATATGAAAGGTGGAATCTAGAATTTTCAAAGAAACTGTATGCACCAGCATATTACAACTATGAAAATTTCCAAAGCAGTTACTATGGACGTGAGATGAACGAGCCAATGTTGGATTTTGCAGAGTATTTACAAAATCCTGTGTTTATTATCGACTGCAGCCGACAACCAGAAGCCGTGAAGTCCTCCACAGTGGATGTGAAAATAGAATTTCAAACAAGAAAGACTAAATTTCCAAAAGACACTAAAGTTTATGCGTTAATAATTCACGACACTTATTTTAGTTATAATATGTTAAATGGTTCTGTAGCAAATATGTAGATCCCTGTATTAGTTTTTAAGTTCAGTTACAAATAGATATAATTTATGTAATTTTTTATTTATTTAAATAATAAACGCATTTATAAAACCCAGAAGTTTAAATCGATATTATATCACGTGTGAATTGGGTGGGCGTTAGTTTATACTTCAGATGTATGGTGGGGTGGTGGTATCGACATTATAATATTGAAACGTTTGACTGAGAAGTCATTCCTATCATCATGGCACAACCTGAAAGACCTTTGAGTAGAGGCTCATCCGTTTTCAGTGACGAAACGGACCGCAATAATGATGATGACTTAGAGCTTTTATTAATTTTACAAGAATTGCAGGATTTGGTGGACTTGCAGGCTGAAGAAGATGCACGTAGTCTAGTGGAGCCGGACTCGAGCAGCGACTGGCCGGAACCCGTTCCGGAACCGGAAGATTGCTCGGGTCCCGCAGACTCAACTACTGGGTGAATTATCCAACAAAGTCAGTAGTTGTACCCTTATTTATGATGTCGAATGCTATACCCCCCTCGGAAATGAAATGGTCCTTTTTAGGACCTCAAAAAAATTCATCGTAGTTAGTTGATCATAACTTTTTATCCATATATTGTTGGAGAAGTTGTGTGCGCTTATATGTACAAACATAAATAAATTTTGTGTGGTTAAACAAAACACGTGTTGCCTCGCCTACTCCAACTAGTTTAAAATATGTTTGTGTATAGTTTCGATCCAAAGTATTTGTTGGTAAACACTCATCACATTCGATTCTCCCCAATCAAAGTACGCCATGACGATACGCGGTGTGATTGAAGAAAGAAGCAATTAGTAGGTTCTTTTCATTGACTATACTCGGCTTGTGAAGGCATTAAGATTATCTACGATCAACGACATTTTGTTGGAATGTAGGTATCGGATTTATTTTTGAAAGGTCGGAGACAAACGTATTTTCATACAATACATTTTTGTAAAAGTGCAGGTGTTTCGAATAACAGGGATATTTTGGGAGCATAAATCTATCCGTCGAATAGAACAATAGGCTTTTGACTACAATGGCAAGTCCCGAACAATTGGGTCATTTTGTTAGAAGACAGGTGTCTGATTTATTTTGTAAAAGTGCAGGTGTTCCGAATAACTGGAATATTTCGAGAGCATAAATCTATCTGTCGAATAGAACAATAGGCTTTTGACTACAATGGCAAATCTCGAACAATTGGGACATTTTGTTAAAAGGCAGGTGGATTTATTTTGAAAAGCTATTAGAGAAATCCATTTTCATACAATACATTCTGTATAAGTGCAGGTGTTCCGAATAACTGGGATACTTTAAAACCATAAAGCCATTATTTTGCAATGTATTTTATTGTTGCTATAAGAATTTTCATTAATAAACTATGTAGAAGCAATTTGTAAATTACAGATGGTAGATCACATAAATACAAAACTTTTTTGGGGCGGCTCCCCAACGAAAATGTTTTTAGTTTTTTTTTTTTTTTTATAAGTCGCTTATAACAAATTAAAAAAAAAAAAATTGAAAAAACTTTTTTTGTGTAGGGTATCAAAATTTTTGTAATGACTTCAGGAAACCGAATTTGAAGGGTGGATCAAAAAAAAAAAAAAAAAAAAAAAAATGTATCTAATTTTTTATTAGAACATCCCTTGGTGGTATGTATTCGCCAGAGCTGCACTTGTTTCGATCAGGTTTTCGTGCGGCTTGGTGTTTATAACATGTCTATAAAAGCCAATCCTTCTTGATATACATCTCTCATTTGGCAAACGACACACATTTTGATTTTAGTTTTGCTTGATAAATTTGAAAACAAGAATGTCTTTCTATCAGATAATCACACAGTATTAATGCAAAAATCTATTGAGGTTAGGTGGTATATAAAAAATGTGTGATTTTATTCCCAAAATGTTCCGTCATTGCAACGTCATTCAATAAATTTCTCAACTAAGAGAATGGGTGGTGGTGCGGTACCATGAACTCGCGCTTTTGTTAAAAGGGTAGTTTTCTTTGGGAACGATGAAGCGAGACAGCGCTTTGTAAGAAGAGACGAAGACAAGAATATATTTTTGAGGGTATGAATACAAGTGCGTAGTTGGGTAGGTGGCGCATGGTGGTGGTGGTATTTGTCACCCAATCGAAAAAATCTTAGGTGGGTGAGTTTTGTGTGGGTGGAGTGAGGTACCACTTTAAAAGTCGATCTACCCATACATTTTTATCAGTCAGCTTAGCATCATGGAGTCTCAAAACTCAGTCATCGAAGAGACCCTTGCTGCTAATTTACCAAGCGATCTAAGGAATATAACCTTAGACGCTGTAGTGTGTGCCCCAATTGTAATTCTATCTGACGACGACGACGCCGAAGCTTTCCAAACAGGTCCCCGCCTCAAGAGGCCAGTTAAAAATCTCAACCTGATGAGGGGGCCTGCGTACGAAGAACAACGGGCATCTGTGTTAGCGAAAATGCTGTTTACTGGGGGGGATGGGGTGGAAGAAGGTCGCCCCAGTGCAAAAAGACGACGGGCTGGAGCACAAAATCAAAAGATGTCGTCCGAACAGAGCAGCAGCAAGAAGCAACAACAACAACAGCAACAGCAACAACAACAGCTGCAACAACAGCTGCAGCAACAGCAGCAGCAGCAGCAGCAACAGCAGCTGCAGCTGCAGCAACAGCAGCAGCAGCTGCAGCAACAGCAGCAGCAACAACAGCAGCAGCAACAGCAGCAGCAACCAGAGTCTGATGACCTTCTCCAGTTAGTAATCCGACGGAAGGAGGCTCTTCAGGAAAAAGTTGTTGCTGAGAGGAATGCTGTTGTAGCAGCAGAACAAAATCTTGAATCTTCAATCAATCATGCTGAGGATTTTCGGCGGAGAGTTGAAGCTTCAAAAGCTCAACTCGAAGCTTTGAAAACAAGATTGGCAGCAGAAGAGCAAGAGTTGGAGGACGCCAACCAACAAGTGGCGCTACACCAGGTGGATCTGCGTGTGCTGATTGGTCGACCTGAAGAGACAGAAGTGAAAATTGCCAAAGATAAAGAGTTTTTTAATAATTTGTGGACATAAGTTTAGGTATAGAATTTTAGGATAAGTATAGCTATAGGATTTTTTTTATAATAAATAATATATAGAATAAGTATAGCTATAGATTTTTTTTTTTTAAATTTTTTTTTCTAATAAATGATATATATCTCTACAAGTTTGTTTTTGTATATTTCAAGAAAACCTTAAATAATCCCCAATGAAATATTTGGGGATAAGAAATAAACATATGCAGCCGTATTCAAAATCCTCTTTCAGCTTTAAAACCGCTTTTAGAACTGGTGACTTATTTATTGAGAGAGACAAAAAAAAAGTTTTGTACATTTTAACTAAAGTCTAATCAAAATATTTTGTGGCTCTTTTTTGTTTGGCCGATTTTTTTAGGGTTCGAGGGGGACATATGCGTTCTACACAGTTGTGGAATCACAAGGACCGAGTGGCGAAGGTGGCCTAGACTGTTTTTCCCACACACCATTCGTTTTTACAAAAATCCATGAGTCCGCAATTACCGAAGACTGAAATCCTCGGCAAAATCCTTGGTAATCAATTTTCAAGACTACGGAATATTAACCTCGAATTTGTGAACTTCTAGGTCGATTCTGTTTGAAAGTTGAGTTGCGTAAGAGTGGGATTGGTGGTATAAAAGTTTGGAACGTTTGACTAAGAAATCATTTTTATTCATCATCATAATCATCATCATATGTGCACAACCAGAAAGACCCGAGAGTAGAGGCTCATCCATTTTCAACGATGAGACGGACCGCAATAACGATGACGACGACTTAGACCTTTTACTAATTTTACATTAATTTAATGGGGAGAATAAAACGATTCATTTGAGCATTTCAATTTTTATTATTTAATCCATAACAAAATTCGATTCAAAGAGCTTTTTGTTAGAATTATTCGATAATATGTTAGATTATTGAATAATTCTTTAGAACAAGGTGCCAGTCGTGAACTGAGCTCTTTGTCGCACCTCATTCAGTTTTTTTTTAATGTGAAAACGAAATTTCAAACAAAAAACACATGTATTTACAAAAATCTACATCCTAACAAAATATATACACTACTTATCACTATTTACTAAAATTCACATCCTAATGCTAACGAAATATATGTACTACTTATCACTAAAATTAAAAGTCTTTGCAATAGTCCGCAAATTGTTTTTTAGTTCGGAAATTTTCGCATTGGAATTGCTCATGCAGCTTTCAGCGTCCAGCATTTTCTGCCGAAACTTTGCATACTCACTACGATACAACTCCAATGCAACCTCCTCCTCACACAATTGTTTTTGGAGCGCGCTATGGTTTTCCATCGCGCGCGAAAAAATGTCTTTTCCTGAGGCCGAAAACCCGCTCCAATCCGGCTGTGAAAAAGTCGTCGCGGATTCGAAATTCGCACTCTTTTTTACTATTCGCGTCGCGGATGCCGCACTCAAGTTCTTTTTTGCCGCGCGCACCGATTTCCTACGTCTCCCACAAGTGATGATCGGCGAGTATCGGGGCGGCTGTGGTGATGGCTGTGAAACAGCACCTGGTCCCTCGATAACCACAACATCGGGTACCAGGTGTTCGGGGGTTTTGGAGCGGTTTTCGGTGTGGACGAGGTCCGGTATTTTCCTAGGCTTTTTTGTCGATCCATCCGGGTGAATCGCTGCATAAAACATACGCTTATTGCGCGCTACTTTCGAAGGCATTGTCAATGCCTTCTCAAGTTTTCCCACAATTCGCGGCCGGATGACAACATCACTCAATACTGTGATCCTCTCCTTCGTACCTCGCTGCCCATTTTCGATCTTCATCAGCAGACCGTCTATCGCCTCATTGATTTGTGCGTCACAACCATCATCTAAGCTGAAATAATCCTGGCAAACTTCTGGCTGCGGCAGACTATCACCCTCGCGAACTTCTGCCTGCGACGGCAAATCACCGAGCGAAAACGCGCCCTCCATTTCCTCCAGCGCATCAACGCACAACGCGTCCAATCCATCGTTCAGGGTATTATCAAAATCATCCCCCCAAAGTTCGAGCGACAGTTCGTCAAACACGTTCTGCCCCACCGACCCGAGACTTGCGATGATTAACTCTTGAGCCGAGTCACTCAGGCTCAATGGGTTTAATAAAGAAGAGTTTGCAGACACTGATTCCATCTTCAAACTGAAATATTTCACGCAAAATCTCAACAAACTTTCGATGCTGAAGGGTTGTTCAGAACTGTTGAGCTCAACTCAGTGAGAACTGTGAGAAAGACCTTTCGAGAACAGATTATCCCCCACCAAGTATTCTTGAGGGTTGTTTAGGGTTAAAATCTGTCACGAACCAAGGGAAGAACATACCACCCACGTCAAGGCTAAGATATCCGTCAGCTAGGTGTGGGGGAGGGGAATCCGTTGTGGATGTTTGTGGGGGGTGCTAAAACCTAACAATTCAAGGCCAACTATGTTAGAGAAGTGGATTTTCAATTATACCTTATTACATAATAAATGAATACAAAAATTAACAATTACAAATTATGATACATATTATATTTACAACTTAAAATACAAAATATGGATTCTCCAGTTTTAGGGTCATCATTCATTCATCAATCAATCATTCATCATTCTCCAAAAGCCTTTGGCATATCATTGATAACTGTTCTATACAGTCTGGTTCAGACAATAAATTTTCCATACTGTTTTGCTCGAATGAACTTGCCTCACACACACTAGTTAAAATTTGTCGAATTTGTTCCGGATCGGTCTGATGAAATGTTATATCTATATGACCCCAAGGTAGAGTTTTTATTGACTGGGGTATTATAAAGCGTTTATCGTCATGGTGAGAAAGAGCGACCTTGTTTAATATTTCTGTATAAACATCGTGCGGCTCACTTCGGAATGTTTTCATCTTTCGAAATATCAAACCACCACTCTCAACGACTTTGCGATAATCTTCCAGGTTGATATGTTTTTCGACTACCGATTTCTTAATCCCTTTCGCTTTTTTCAATTCAGTTTTTAATGATTTTACATAATATGCTTTAGCTCCGGTACCATAGAAAGCGCTTATCGGATCACCTGGAAATTCATCTTTCATTCGTCCCGGTACCGATTGACTTTTCCTAATATTAAAAGGATTTCCGTCAACCCAATTCGATGTATCGAATTTGTCTGGGTTTTCTGCGATAACGCGATAAAAATCATCCGTAAACACTTTTAATATTAGGGAATCCGTGTCTGTGTACAGTAAGGAAGCATCATCACCAAACTTTTCCTTGATGAAGGTGTAAAAAAAATCATAAATTACGGTTTTCGACATGTCCAATATGGAAAACCCAACATATATTGGCTTGTCATAGATCACTTTGACCTTATCCATATGGATAGCTACAAAGTCATCAGTGAAATACGAACAGCTATTGAAATTAGGACGAGCTATTAATGCGCGTGCTCCAACTTTACCGACGCTGTTCTCCCACTCTGTTATTAATTTTATGTCTTTACGCTTTTCCACATTTTCCATTGTTTTCCCGAAAATCGCATTTATAATTAATTTAAATAAATCCCTACCAAATTTTGTGGCTGATAAATTGCGCAATACTGTGTTGAAATCAATATATTTCTTCAACCACTTTGACTGATTGAATTTCAAAACTCTATGAGTTTGCGTTACTATTAGGCCATTCGAAATAGCTTGTTTTAGAGTTCTATAATGTACAATATAGTTCTGTTTATCGTTTAGGTTTGGAATAAATTTTTTCATTTTTGCTGATTCTATGGGCGGAACAATACTTTCCACTAAAAAGGGGAGGTCAGCATGAGCATCATGCAAACCTTCCGGATAACACACATCAACTTCTAAAACATAGCCTTCTAGATCATCATCATCAACATCCATAATATTTAAATCATTTATTTCTTGATGAGATAACCATTTAAAACCGCCGAATGGTAATGCTTGCGACATACTGTGCCCATATAAATTTGTTGCATCAAGATATGTGATAAATGATGATGGTTTCGTGGGATCATAATCTGGTAAGTATTTGTTATTTGCTACATGCTTCCTTTCAGTACACTGACTTATACCTCCGCGAATACCCTTTTTGAAAAAGTGAACCATATCAATATCAGTCAATAGCTCCAACTCTACTTTAGTCATACGTAACATACAATCAAATGATAAACTTGGAAGTGTATAATATTGTGCGGGATCTAGTTTGTAAACATTCAGACATGTGTCGCGAAATTGTTCGAAAACATCACTCAATAGTGTTACGTCCGACTTTAGATACACGTCTGAATATTCACCCAAGTTCTTACACTGAAACAAACGCCAAACCTTCTTTGCTCTTTCGTAAGATTCATCGCTAATATCCTCATCACGTAGAGTATCAAAAAACTGTTCTTTTGTTGGAAGAGTTGGGTAATTCATTTTTTCCAGCGAATCAAAGAAACTATAGGGGAAAACACCCTTTTGACGAACTAAACTGAATTCCTCATTATTGGAAAAATGCCTACGTGTTTCCCTGAAACTATCAATTTCCAATCCGTTACCCAAATTTTCCAAAGATGCCGATAAAAATTTAAAGCTATCGATAAACCGTAACTTTAAATTTTTTCTTTTCTATGAACCAGTTTTTTTATCCATGTAGTCGTGTACGTAAATACTCTTTGTGAACGATATATACTTTTCCTTGCTCTGAGCTATAACATTAATTTTATCACCATGATGACACAATTCTTTAATAAACAACTGACAGTCATACCCGCTCAAATTGTGAAATATAATGGGGATAAAATTAGGTAGTTTATAGTTTAAATTACAAATAGAATGCGCAGCACCAAATCTTTTCTTCCCCGTTATATGACAGTGATCTCTTACTTTAATATCATTCTCTTCAAATGGTTTCTCACAAATACCACAAGTTATTGCATTTCTAAAATCCAACTCTTCGTCAGGTGTTAGACGATTCATTGGTTTAATATCTTTACAATAGGTGTTATAAAGATGTCTCAAATCGCTTTCCAACCGAGA